TAGCGGAGGTGACTCGGAAACACGCAATCAGCTCACCTTTGCACGCACGCACAGACTAACCGTTCACCTTTCTGCACGCGCACCACTCCACTCCCACACACACCAGAGTCACATGTGCTCTCACTCAAAGAGAGCTCTGCACCCACTCACCCTGACACCCACACAACCACCCACACACTCACGTGCACTGCCAAATAGCTCTCAGCCTCTACCCCCACCACCCCCGCACATCCACCCCTCAGCGCCACAAACGCGTTGCGCGCACACTCGTGCGCGCGGGGCTTCGCTAAGTGCGCCTGATCTGGTTTCCTCTCCTTCTGCGTGCGACCCCGCAGTGATAGAATAAACACAAATACGTGATAATCACATTCCTGACATTTCTTTTCCTGCCGGTGGGAAGTTTCAACTGGTTTTCTGTTTGGCTGCGCGTGCGTGCGCGCGCGCTGGTGTGCAAAAAAGAAGAAAAGAAAGTGAGGAAAAAAATGGAGAAAGAAATGAGAGAAAGGGAACAAAGCGATCTGGGGAGAAGTCTCCCACATTCCTCATTGATGCCAATATCCAACCAGAACACCAGACCCGCACAAAACACACACACACACACACACACACACACACGCCGCACGCGCGCAATGCACGCGCGCGCACAGACCAGAGTTGGAAGAAAATCTGCTGGTTTTCACTACATCTGCGGTTTCATTCTCCACTTTCTCTCCGCGGATCAATTCATGCAACATTTGAACCCAAGTGGAAAGTTTGGCAGAAGAGGAAAATCCTTCCAGACTCCATCTGCTGCTCCACAGCTCCAGCTTCTCATCCTACCTGAACTTCATCTCCTCTGGAAGCAGCAGCGCGGACAGCGGAGCTGTGAAGGTGAGCGGAGCGCAGCGGCTTTGGACGGGACCTACCTGAGCACATGGCCCGCATGGCCCGCATGGCCCGCACACTTCCTCAGTCAACACGCTTTGTTTCTCCTCCTCCTCCTCCTCCTCCTCCTCGCTGCTGCTGTTGCATGCTTCTCCTCCATCTGTCCGTCTCACTGTGCCTCTCTTCATGTCTTTCTCACCCTCCTCTTCCTCCCTCCCTCCTTCTATCCCTCCCCCTCCTCCCTCCCTCCCTCCCTCTCTCCTCCCCTCGTGTTTTCGTTCAGCTCTCTGCAAACTTCCTCACACTTTGTCTGAAATAAAGAACAGCAGCATCTCGCCCACCATTCCCCCCATTTTCTGCTGCTGTGTCCCAAAGAGGAGAGGGATCTATTTGCCCCCCCCCCGCATCCCCCACCCCACACCCCCGGGGGGGGGGGGGGGGGGGGGCATTGTTCATTCTCAGTTTTACAGTACATCACAGAAAAATAAAGAATATAACAAAAATAGCTGCTCTATCTCCTTTTTATCAGATTTACTAAAACTCTAAATATCATTTTATTTAAACAGAAGATTCTCATTTAAAACATTTTCACAGACATAAATAAAAAACGAAAAAAAAATTATTTATACCAAAGAAATAAACGCAGCTTTTTTCCCCCAAAGCCAAATATTTCACTTTAGTCCGAATCCAAATGTTACACAGAGAAATATTTACGCCCCTTTATCGTAACAGGAGGCATATAATAGATTATTAATCTGCAACAAATATTAGAGCCATAAACATTTATATGATTTATCTCCATTTAATTATTTTAAATCCAGAGATTTGTCCTCAGAGTGAAACACTTTCGCTCTTCATCACTTTGGCCTAAAAGCTAATGTTGGAAGCTGGTGCTGAACTGGACAGCTCCTTCAGGGACAGACTGCTGCTCCTTAAATGCACCAGGGAGCGTTATCACAGATCCTTCCTCCCAGCAGCTGGAAGATGGAATCAGTTGTTCATTCATGCTGATTTTGCACCTCAGGCAGTAAAGCTGTTATTGATTTTTATTCTCCAGATAAAGTAGATTATTTATATCTTAAAAGCACTGTACAGTACAATGCCTTTTTTCTTAATTTTCTTATACACTTTCTAAGGAGTGAACACTTCTACTATAATCTTTTGCTGCTGGAAACGTCACAATTTCCCCATAGTGGGACAATGAAAGGATTTTCTATTCTATTCTATTTTTAAAAACAATGAAGCGTCATGTTTGGGATATACATAGACCCAGAGAGGCTGGTCGGTTTAACATTTCATCCACTTATTAACTGTGTTTTGGCATTTACTTAATTATATTTAGTTACTTTAGCACAATTGTTTTATGTCCTACCCTGCTAACATGAGACAATTTTATTAAAGTAAATAAATATAATCAAGTAAATGCCAAATATGACTCTTAATATAACAGAAATGTTAAAAGATTTTTATCCAAACATTTTGAGAAACCCGTATGAATCCCATTTCCAAATCTAAAATTTGAAGTGTTACAGTGATTATTTAAAAAAGGACAAATCTTCGGTAGATATTTAATAAATAGAAGTAATGTTTCTATTTTGAACCAGAAATTTAAACTTTTAATTACAACATAAAATTATTATTTAACTGAATATCATGACAGTTATTCTGCTTTTCTATGATCCTTGGAGCAAAAAATGGAAACTATGCAGATTTCATGAAAGGGACAGAAATGTAAATGATGAAAGATATGAGTAATAAAAAGGTTGAAAAAGAGGAGCTACTCTGCATCATGGAGAGGGACAGAAAACCTGTGACTCTGGTTCATTTATGACTTTAATCCATTTAAACAAACAATTCTTCAGTTTTTTTGTAGAAATAAGAGAAACTGAAAAAAAAAACCTTTAAAATAAAGCAAAACACGTTTTAAAATGTGTTTTGTATTTATGGCAAATGCAAATGAATAAAACAAGAAATAAATTAAGATATTTGCATGAACTTGGCACTGAGGACTGGTCTGATACTCATTTCATTCACCTGCTTAGCTCTGCCCAGTTTCTCACCATCGTTCATCTCATCCACCTGCTCCAGTCTCTATTTAACCAGCCTTCTTCCAGTCATCAGGGTCAGATTATTAGAGCCTGTGGTGAGAGTTCTCTGACCCGTTCTGCCTCTGGACGTCTGAGCCTGCCTGATCTTGTTCTGATCTGTTTGCCTGACCTGTCTACAGACTCCTGCTGGATTCTGCCTGTGTACCGAACCTGGAACTGATTCCTGACTCCGTCCTGGATTTCCCTTCGGTATCTCTTCGGATCCCTGATCTTCTGGCTCTGACTCCTGAGCACGTCAGCGTCAGTGGCTTTGGCTTCGCCCTCTGGATTATCCTGCCTTCCTTCAACTGCTTGGTTCTGATCACCTGCCTGCCCTCTGACCTCCGAGACATCAGCTTCTGGGACTCTCTTGGCCGCCGGCTGGAACCAACCTTTTCCTCTGGACACGGACTGAACTACAACACCAGGTCAGTGACTCGCCCTCCGCCAGATTGATGTGGTCACTAACCGGTGTTCT